CACACACACACACACACACACACACACACACACACACATATACACACACTCTCTCTCTCTCGTTAATTAGGGGAAATTGTGCCCTCTTAATTTTTTAAATTTTGGTGTGTTTTTTGTTTCTTAGCTGTATATTATGCTGCATTAAAAGATCAGTTTTTTAAAAAAATTAGGAAGAGATTGACAGTTTTTGGAAAATGTTATGTTCCACATGTGGGAGTGTGAGGTACAATATAGAAAATATCCAATTTTTAATTTCTGTCTTGCAAGATAATGTGCTTATTTAGGTTTTTAGAAAGCGTAAGCTTAGTCTTTTCTGCTATTTGTGTTCAAAGGATTAGAGGTAAAGTAAATGAAGGTGTAGTGGTTGGTATTATGAGCTTTTAACCCATTAATAGATGAAATACTTCTTAAGTTGATTTAAAATATGGATCTGACAATTTGAATTATTTGAACAGTACGGAAGGAGACTAGACTAGTCACAGCTAATTTCTGTTTTTTATAGGTCATATAAATTTGGTATAGATTAAATATTGTTTAGCAAAATTTAAAATATTCTTTTAGTTCAATACTGATTTCTTAAAGTTTCTTGCAGTCTGTGAACAAAATGGAGCAACCATCATTTCATGCTCTGACTCTATAGTACGATGGTATTTCATGTCAAATAAATTGACATATGGAGTCAGAATATGTCATTTTGTAGTTATAAGGGTAGCTACTCTTTTAGATAAGGAGAAAATGCTTGTCTGAGGAGATCTTGTTTATTTAGTTTGTGCTGTTTAAATGAGTTACGATGCAGTAAGTCTACTGTCTGGAGCTGCACTGCTGTTCAAGTGGTGGCCACTAGCCACATGTGGTTATTGAGCCCTTGAAGTGTGTCTAGTGAGATTAAGGAACTGAATTTTTAATTTTATTTTCATTAAGTTCAGTTATTGGTATAGTATTAAGTGTATTTGGAATAATTTGGGTGTGTGAGTCTACCTTTACATTTTAAATTTTATTAAATACAGATAAGTATTTTTGAAGAAAATTTGGCATCTGAATTAGATGTGCCATAAGTATAAAATATACACCAAATTGGGAAGATTTAGTATGAAGAAAAGAATGTAAAATACCTTATATAATAATTCCTTATATGGCTGCATGTTGAAATGATAGTATTTTGGATATATTGGGTTAAGTTGAAATGATAGTATTTTGGATATATTGGGTTAAATATATTAATTACAGCTTCTTTTTCCTTTAATGAGGTGGCTAGAAAATTTGAAATTTCATGTGTTTTTCTTTTGGACAGTGCTGGTCTAGAACAATAACTTTGTCAAATTTTTTATCTTTTCCTTACACAATTATAATCCCAGGATCCCATTACATAGAGTATAATTATGTAATTCATTAATTTTTTGTCTTTTAAAATTAATACTGAACTTTAAAATTTGTTAAGTATATATCCATTAGATGTCAGTGTGAGATTGATTTCCTGTAATACCTGTGTAATAGGGCAGGAAATAAATTTTAGCACCCAGTTATCAGGTCCGAATTGTACACATTAACTTTAAAACTTTACTCCTCTCACTTCTGTTACTTTTCTTTTGTGTTGTTTATTACCTACTTGATACTATTTCCATAAAATTTTGTTGTTTTAAAGTTTTCTCCTAAACATCTGTGTGGCATTATCTTGTTTATTTATTTGCTTACTTAATTCCACCCAGAGTGTAAACTCTTTTAAGATTAGAGTAGGGTTTTATCCTCAGTTTTGGGAAGAGACTATTGCAGGCTCTTATTAAGTGTTTGTTTAGTGGATGAATGACAACCAGCTGTGGGACAGGAACGAAGTTCACTAGTGAGAATACAGAACTGAATAAAATATGTTCCTTCCTCCCCTGGGAATTGACATCTAATGGGTTTATGTAGAGTTGTAAGCAAACTGTTTGACCAGGTGGTAGCAGTGAGGGGAATGGGAAGTGCTATGAACATGTAGAAGCAAATAACCACTTATTTTGGGGGAAACTAGGAAGATTTTGAGCAGGTCTTAAAGGTGAGTAGGTGCCAGTTGCTGGGTTTTTTTTGTGGGGGCCAGGGGGAGGAGGATGGAGGAAGAGTAGGGAGGGCTTGTAGAATGGTGAGATAGTGTGGCCAGAAGCGCCCAGAATGGCAGTGAGCATGTTAGGCAGAAATCCCGAACAGGTAATAAGGAGCTTTCTCTGGAGTGGAGATAAGAGAGTGAAGAAAAGAAGAAAGTTTGGATACTGTTGTGATTAACTGTAAGTTAAAAAGTTTAGATCTTTACCTTTTAGGTGATTGAGAGGATAATTATTTTACAGGATAATTATTTTAAATGAGGGAGTGACCAGGTCAGAAATAATGTTTTAGAAAGCAGAGACCACATAGATAATTGATTTCCTCCTCCTCCTCCCCCTGAGGATCTTAAGTGGCATTGGGGATGCTAAACAGTTTTTCAGATTCCAGATATAAGTAATTCAGAGGTAGAGTGAATTTAGCTGTGACTAGTGTGACTCTACAGCAGCTAACAACAGCAGTGTGTTAGGGTAGTCCCTGGGTGGTGCAGGAGTTAACATGCTTGCCAGACGAAAGGTTGGCGGTTTGAGTTCACCCAGAGGCACCTCAGAAGAAAGTTCCGGTGACCTGCTTCTGAAATAATCAGCCATCAAAAACCCTGTGGAGCACAGTTCTACTGTGATACGTACGGGATTATTATGAGTTGGAATTGACAGCAAAATTTTTTTTTTTTTTTTTGCTTTAGTCTGTTTGGGGGAGGAGAGGGAAATGCAAAGTTAATCTAGGGGTTTCTAGTTTGAATGATGGGTTGATGATTCCATGAACTGAAATGGGGAAGGTAAGTGTGTAGGATTGGAGAAGGAGGATGGACGTGCTGCTGGGAGAGGAAGACATAGTTCACTGGATTTGTGAGCATTTTGGTTTTGAGTGCCTATAGGTGCTTTGTTGGGTTTAAAAACTGTGGAAAACCTGTACACGGTAGATTAAACACACATCTCCCAAGGCATTATCATACATTACTGAAGGTTCTACAATACCTAACTAGTCCTGCTTTTACTTCTGCTCTTACAACTTATTCTCCATATAACATCCAGTGCATCCTTTTAAAGCATAAATCATGGCCCCTTCTCTTTTTTCAAGCCCAGTAGCTTCCCATCTAATTAAAATCCAGCAGTAGTATCATAGGCCACAGGGCTTTATTTGATCTGGTCTACCTTTCCAACCTCATCTACCTTTATTCCTCTTGCTCAGTTAGCTCAGAATAGTTTGTTTCTCCAGATAGTTTTTGCAGATCTCTTAAAAAGTGTTCCCCTAATATTTCATATCACCTCTATTCACTCATGGCACTTTGTCAGTACATGATGTTTATTAGCTAGTTGTGCCTATATTTATCTTTATTAATATTCCCAGTATCGTAGCACAGTTTTTGGCGCTCAGTATTTCTGGAGCCCATCTGATGAGGAATTCAGGGGAAAAATATGGAACAATGGCATAGATTTAAGAATCTTTAGTACAAGTTAATGTGTGTGAATGAGGGTCCCAGATTGTTTCTTCATCCAATAGATATTTATTGATCATTGTGTTCTCACCCTGTGTGTACAGTTGTAAAGAAAATAGAATTGATTCCAGCCTTTTCTGAGGTTAAAGTATTGTGAATGGCAATGGTAAGAAAGGGTGTAATGAAATTCTGAAACAACTCCACCATTTTATTAGAGAGTCAGAGCACGAAGAGTCAGCAGAGAATGAGAGTGATCAGCCCAGTTCCACTAGAGTTTGGTAGAATAATATGTACCCTTCTACAAATAAAGTACCAACACAGAAGGAGCGACTGGAAGTGTTAAAGACTGAAAATTTGGGATGGGTGGCTGAGAATCAAGACATCTTGCTCCAAGGCTGAAGAGTGGATGGGATTGGTAGTATGGCAGAAGACAAGTATTTAGCAATTGAAGTAAAATTCAAAACTTAAATCACTAGCTATATTTTGTGTATTGGCTATACCAAATACAGTGGTGGTTAGTGTTAGTGGAACCCCAAGTATTAAGAAGACCAGAGGACCTGGAAGTAAGTTTAAAAGCCCTACCTAAAGTGTTTAAAATCCTTTTTCTCCCAGAAAAATAACCTTTTTTCCCTAATTGAGTGTAAAATGAAAGCTATTGGTTTTTAAAGTTTATGTATTTTTTTCCCTCTTACATGTTTTTCTTACTTTGGTATACATTAAAGAGAAGATTAAAAGCAACAGAAGTGGAATAGATTGGCTGCTAGAAGCATCTCATTGGGAAATTCTCAGAAGAGTCTACTAGTAAAAATACAACAACTTGAATTCATTATTGATGGAATTATCCATATACAGTTAACTATGTATATATTTTACAGACACTTCTACAGACACTGAAGGTCTGATTATGTTAATTCTAGTAATTGAGCTTTAAAATGATAGACTGGTTAAAATTTTCAGGAGAAATAGTGAAATTTTTATGAGGTATTTTTGAAGGGAATGCTTTATTCTCCTACAGATTTTGTAAGTCAGTTGGGTATTATACCTAAAAGAAGTTGAAAACGAACTTGTACGAATATTGGGAGGAGACAAAGCAAGTAATTCATACATAGTTGAAGAACTGTTAACTGCCCCAGAACTTGCTGACTTGGTCCTTTGTGTTTAAGAATGGGTACTGAATTACTCAGATACTTCCAGGAGTTCTTAAAGGTCACAAGGCTTTCCTTTTACCGTACCCCTAGTTTTCAGTTGCTTATATCCTAGTCAATTTCTCCCTTTATTGTGATATTTTAGTTACCCTTCAATTGGAT